TGGCAACATGTGCTGTTACAGGTAGTAGCAATCAGCACATCTGTCACCTATTCAGGTGGGTAAGATCCACTGACAGTGGGTCCCAGAGGTTTGCCATTTACAAGTGGCAATATAGACTGCAACAGTAATACATTTGTCCCCTTTTTAAGTGGATAAGATCCACTGACAGTGGGACTCAAAGATTTGTCAATTGATTGGATTAATCCATTGAAAGTTCTTTTGAGGTGGATAGGATCCACGGAACATAACAATGGTTCTTTTCTTTTTATCTGTTTTATCACATTTTTTGTGGTGGATGGGATCCACCAGATATATGTGTGTGTGTGTGTGTATATATATATATAAATTGAGATAAGATTTTGAGTTCTAACAGAACTCTAGAGAGAGAGAGAAGATAAGATAAGATAAGGATTGATAATAGATAAAATTTAAAGGGATAGAAGAAAAAGATAAGACCTGTACCTGTGTACACTTATCCTTGATCACTTCAATCGACAGAACTATAAGTTCCCTCCTCTATTTCCTCTCTTCTCTCCTTTTTTTCTCTCTTTTATCTCTCTCTTCTCCCTTTTCTCTATCTGCCACCCATTTTTCCTCTCCTCCCACCCTTATATAGAGGAGACAGTTATGGGTAGGGAGGTTAGAGCAACCTCCCCACTCTTCATACGTGTGGGGGTTGCTTAACTCCCCCCATAAGTAAAATAAATTAAATTTTAATTTATGTTAAGTGGGCCAGCTGTCAAATCTGGCCCCTCAAGCCTTATATTTTTTTTACATCATATATATTATATATTTTTAATCCTAAACAATGCTCAAAATCATTCTATATGGGCTATAAAAATTCAGTTCATTTAAGAGACAAATGAATTCCCTCCATATCGTAGTAAGGAGGAAATTTGCCTGAACAACTGTGTGCCTGTGTGGCCCTCACAGCCACACTCTCTAACAGTGCCACAACCACCATTGTTTCTACCACCACCTCTTCCTTCCATAATACCACCATGACTACCTCTAAAAGCGCAGCCAGAACCTCTAACTGCAATCATTCCCCTAACACCTCAACCACCACTACCACCCTTGGTTGCTGCTAAAGAGAATCTCTCTGAAACGGTAGAATGATCACTTTGGGGTTGGGATGTCCTTTGGATACAAGAAAACACCTTAGAAAGGCAAGGAAGATCACTACTACCCAAAATCTGGTCTCTCACATGCTCAAACTCAGACCTCAATCCTGACAAGAATCTAGTAATATCCAAATGTTCTCTCTGCATTTCTTGTACCTTCCAAATAGTAGAGAAATGCTAGCAAACATTCAGCTAATTCCTCAAACTGTTTAATGTAGCATAATATTCTTCTACACTTTTATCACCCTATTGAAGGGAAAAATAGTCCTGATATAGTTTGTAGATCCTTGTCAGATTGTCCTAACCTAAATACAACTACCTGGCATGCTCCCAAATTTCCTTAGCAGTATCCAAAAACATGATACTAGCACTGACGTTATTTCCCATACTGTTCCATAACAAAGTCATAATATGTGCGTTTTCTTGCACCCATTCCTTGTACCCTTCATACCCATATTTAGGTTGGTCTTCCTTGATATATTTTAACTTGCCTCTTCCAATTAAGGAGACTTCCACATATTTATGGTACATAATTTGTACCATTGAGCTTAACAGTAGTTAACTGAGTGTTCATAAGGTCGGATTATACTACTATAGCCAACTTGGAACTACCATTGGAAGCAGCCATAGGTAAAATATGGTACCAACCAACAAGGGAGATAGCTACAAACACCAAACACAAGACAACCAACTCGCTACAGCAATTTTAAGCCCAAAAATGATGAATAAAGCACCTTGTTGCGGTAATTTGCAGCCCTAAAACTGAATAACAAGCCACACAAGCATTTGTAAAGCACCAAATACCACATACACCATAGAAAGATAACACACGAAATCACACACTACAAACTGTCATAGAGACTGCACCAAGTACACATACCTGCTTTCATTGCTTGGACTGCAGCAAGGTGAGGACTGAGCACACCACCACAAACTCCTCAAACAGACCAACTTGAGGCATTAAAGCCTCTTTTCCTAAGGGGCGACCAGTCTTTTAAATCCCTTTTCCTATTTGAATTGAATATAGGAAGTTCTATATTCCTAGGGCGCAAACAAGGGATGTAAACGGTGAGAGTCAAGTTCACAGCTCTGATACCATATAGAACTTTAGATTTTATAGTAAAGTTTAAAAAGGGAAGAAAGGAGAGGAAAGTGATAGGAAAAGTGTTTAGTAACAGTAGAGAACAAGGAGAGGAGGAGAGAGAAGAAAAGTGTGAAAAGGGTCTCTAAGGATTAAGATTCAAACAAGTCTTCTCCTTTTTCGACCTAAACTTTGTCTCCCTTGTAATTGGTCGCACAAAATACAGAAATACCCCTGTTAAATGATTCTTAACAGGAGCCTTACAAAGACTTTTACAAAAAGACAAAAATGCCCCTTACAGGGATAAATTTTAACATACACAAACAAAGAACCAAAACCAATATCATCATTATTATCATCTAAACCTTGTCCTAACTATACAGGGTCAGCTACATGGATCCTGCTTCGCCATTTGTTCTGTTCGATGCAATATCCATTGTTGAATTATGAGTGCTTAAGTTAGGGGTGTTCACGGGTCAGGTTGGGTCGTTTGTTGGCTTTTTGCTCAACCGAACCGACCTAGTCGGTTTGATAAACAACTAACCCGAAACCAACCAGTTATAAGGGAAAACCGATCCAAACATGAAGGGTCGGTTTGGGTCAGTTTTTTTGTTTGGTCGAGCCATTTTGGGATGGCCAATTGGTCATCCTGGGTGATTTATTGATTTGCAATCTCTTTTTCCTATTTTGTATACTTATTGGCTGATTTGTCTCATTGCCTATTTGAGTCAAACACCATCTTTTTCTGTCATATAGGCTGCTGAGTGCTGCATCTATACTACCCCAAACCCAAAGATAGTTGCCATTTTTGTGTAAGTCTCTTCAACTTCAAGACTATTACAAAAAAGTAATGAATGAAGGGGAGTCCAATTGTCTCCAACTTCAAGACTAATGTAAAAAAAGTAATAATTAAAGTGGAGTCCAACTGTCTATATTTGTAAAAAGTATTGTGTAAAGTCTTAAAAGTGGAGAGAGTCCCATTGTTTCTGTACCAAAACCAGAAGTATCCGACTTCTATCCATAGTTGGTTCGGTTCGGGTTGGTTTCTATTTTCAGAGTGAAAAACCGAAACCAACGCAAGGGTTGTTTATATTTATAAACCGAAACCGACCAAAAGTTTTGAGAAACCGACCAGATCGGGTTGGATCGGATCGGTTTGATTGGTTTGGTTCTTCTTGTGAACACCCCTAGCTTAACTCATTATTTACTACTTCAACCCATGTCCTTTTCAGTCTCTCCCTATCTCTTCTAGCCCCTTCAGCTTGTAACAGATCACTTCTTCTTACAGGTGCTATAGGTGGTCTTCTCTACACATGACCAAACAATTTTACTGTACTTTCTCTCATTCTATCACCTAGTGTAGCTACTACTAGGTTCCTTCAAATGATGTCATTTCTGAACCTGTCCTTTCTGCTTTTTCCAATCATCGAGTTCAGCATTCATGTTTCTACCACATTTTTTGGATATGTTTTTTGGCCACCCAACACTATGCTCCATACAAATTGCTAACCATTTTAAAGAATTGTTTTAGATCAGTAAGGATAATTTTTATTAAACTTCAAATACAAGGAATTAGAACAAGTTGGAAAATTCTCCACCAGAAGAGACTTTAGATCTTTGCCCAAAAAATATGTTGTCTTGTAGTCCCTTGTTTAGCCAATGTGTCCGCCATCCCATTTGCTGTTCTTCTCACCCATCTAAAAGTAACATCATCTCCCTTCCTAAGGATTCTATTTCATTGATTGTATGCCTGTAAACCCATGGGATTTGGGTACTATTCCTTGTCCATGAGATAACCACTTGTGAATTCCCTTCCACTTCCAAGTTAAGAAACCCAAACTGCTTAGCAAATTTTAGACCCTGAAGTAGACTAGACAACTCTGCTGTCACTCATCACCATTGGCTATAGGTCCTGAATATAATGCAAGCACCTCCCCTTCTGAGTCTCGAAAGACCCCTCCCATCCCAGCTATTGCCTGATTGCCTATTTAGCTTCCATCGAAGTTGAGGTTTACACAGTTGGCTGCTGGGTGTCTCCATTCCATCATTGTTCTTTCCCTTTTTTTTTTTGATGAATATTGTTCTTTCCTTGTTTTAAGCTGACATAGCCACTTCCTTCCACTTTCTCGGAATATCATTTAGTGAGAAAGATTTAAAGTCCTCCATTGACTGTACCCAATGTGCTACTTTTATTTTTACTGTTTCCAGGATTTCCAATTCTGTCCTACTCTTTAAAGAATGTATTCGCCTATTACATAAGACTCCATATGCAACTCTCCACTTTGTTCATGCTGTCCTAGTTCTATGGGTAACATCCTCAATCCCTCCTTCCTTGTTATGAATCATTGAACCAAGGGAAGAAGTTACTTTGAGTTATCCCTTTTTTGGTATGAAGTATAAACATTGAGTTATCTCTTGAAACGTCTGTTTTATGGAAATTTGTCAAAACATCTGTTAGTTATGAGACTATACCGTCACATGGTTTGCCCATGAATTTCAGTCTTATATCAAGGGTTGCAAAGCTGGCTAGGAATTGAGAGGACTGAAGGTGAAGAGGGATTCGATAAGATGACAGAATGATGATTTAGGTGAGTTGACAAGATTCAAAAATATAAATTTCCTCTTAATACATTTGAGCATATTCTATGGGGTCCTTTCAAATGAACTTGTGATGGCTAAATTTATTAAGGATCTTCTTCATTTATTTGATGGACTGTTTAAAGGGGACAAGCAAGAAAATATCATACATATGAATATTAAAGCCGTAGGAAGAAGGAACGAAAACAAATACTTACCAGACTGGGAAGGTGGATCAGGTTGTTTATTAGAAGTCACTGATGGTTCTATCCTGCTGCTATTTGCTCTCTTTGCTGCCTTCTTTAGTTGGAACCTAAAACAAGGGAAGCAACCCATGTCTTGAAAGTAGTGAACCCAGAAACCCATAAACTATAACCGATTTCTCTGATGTGGCTCTTTCAATCTCCACTTCCCCCACAAGCCAGGAAGTCCAATCCAACCAGGGGAACCTTCGAACAATTTCTCTGAATCATTTAATACATTGAGGGGAAGATTTCATCGACCACCGAAAGAACACGAGAAATCAAACAGTGATCCAGAACTCAAACAGGGCAAGATTTCATCGACCACCTGATTAGCAACTCGATTCAAAGAGATGAAAAACATAACCCACCAAACCCCAGGTGTCAAAACTACCTTGTAGCTATGAATATTCAATATGTATTGCTGTAGTTCACCAATCTTTAGACGACCACGGAAACTGGAGACCAAGAACAAGTGAGGAAAGCAAAGCGGAGGTCCTTCTGGGAATGAATGACCCCGAAAGAAGATTGTGGAACTCAGAACAAGAAATCATTAACCGAGAATCCGAGATAGCCATTTTTGGGCATGGAAAATAAGGATAAAAAAATGGGATACTCTTCTTTCGGAGAGTCCTCCGGATAAAAAGGGAGCCATTTTGAAGGTGTCTAACCGAAAACGAGGGATCCAATTTTGCGGGTTTGGAAAGGAATCCTTGTGTTATTGCCGCTGAAGATTCTGGTTAATCAAGGTAATCAGAATTAAAAAATCCAACTCTAGCTAAAACCATACACGCGCATTTGACCGAGACGATTGAGGACACGGGAGAGACGAGATACATTAGTCCAGTATAGTCTTACCGCCATTGTC